TTATCATTTATTGTAGAATTAAGACAAAACGCTAAGAAAATTCAAAGCATGTCCAATTTGAGTAAGCACAATGTTTAAACATCAACATCACATAGAATTTACCAACTCTTTTTATCTCTCTTATAGTGCGGTTAACTATTCATAATCAATAAACAGTTTGCTCCATGGACATTAACTTATTACTTAGGGAAAAGGATGTGTTGAGATTAATATGCACTAATGCATTGGTAAGTGGTAAGTGATGTATCTACATGTACATGTATTTGAGTTAATGGATAACTGAGTAACTGTAATGTTAATTGTCACAGGCCTATGTCACTGACTATACATGTATTCTTCATTATGTCTCAGATAAACCCATTAACAATGACATTGCCTTCTGAGCACAGATGGCAATACAGCTACCATTGCCATTACTATTACTTTTGTAATAACAATTCAGTGCTGTACACCTTCCTCTCTTTCCTTTTTTGTTTCTCTATCTCTTTAGTGTCACCATTTTCTTGATGCATCAAGCTTAGAAGATACTGAGGTCATCAGTGAGTCTTGCATTCAAGTGAGGGCATTTATACATTTTCCCATTTACATTTCTTTCCGTGTTTATAGGTTTGTTGTCTTTCAAAATTAGGACACTGTACATGAACATGCATTGTTGTGTTTTTTAATAATATTTTTTTGTTACCTAAATTATTCGTTAATACTATAATACAATAGCAGTCCATGAACTGATGCCACAATGATAGAAAGGCCAAAGCTGTCTTGGCAAAGGTTGCTCACTTGATCCAGGGATGAGAAATGAACCTATTGGCTCAATATAGTAGTGGATAATGATAAATAATTTTTAAAGTGAGTTAGCAGTGCAATTCTGATTGTTGTCTGGTATCAGCAGGTAGTTATACAAAATTACTTTTTTTGAAAAATAAAAGTAATAAATTTGAATGAACAGCTACAGAGATAATCAGCTAAACATACTTTCTGCATACTTAATAAGGGGGTGGGGCTGAAGGTTTTCAGCTGAAAACTCAAAGGTTTTACATCAAAAGTCCAAAAAACAGCAAAAATGTGCTTGATAAAATAATTAGCTAGTGCTAAAGCAAGGTTGAAAGGTTGTTGCAATTAATTGTCATGTTTTAACTATTTTGACTAAAAACTTATTTTCAGGCATAATGTTGCCATTTATTGGTTTACAGGGCTTGAGAAGGAAGTCAGCTACTTCTGACAAATTTTTCTTAACCACTGCATTTAACTTTCAACCTTGCTGTAGCAGTAGCTAATTATTGTATTAAACACATTATTGCAGTTTTTTGGAGTTGTGATCTAAAACCTTAGAGTTTTCAGCTAAAAACCTTCACCCCCACCCCCTTATTAAGTATACAGAAAGTATGTTTAGCTGATTATCTCTGTAGTTGTCCATTCAAATTTAGTACTTTAATTTTTCATAACAAGTAATTGTGCATGCCCACCTGCTGATACCAGACAACAATCAGATTTGTGCTGCTAACAGACTTAAAAAAATTATTATCATAATGCAACTTCTGTAGTTAGCCTCTCATTCCTGGATCAAGAGAAAGGACCTTACCTCATGGACTGCTTCATATTGCATACCTTCGCAGCATAGTAGTTCAAAATTATTATTATTTTAAATATCTTTTGGGCAATAAAAATCAAATATTATACAATAACATATAAAAAATAAACAATGCATGGTTCTGGATGCATCCTGATCTTAAGCTTGAATTATACTATAATCATACAGAGAGGCATAAAAAATGAGAAAATAAATAATAATTATTTACCTTACTTACTTGAATGAACTACTTGCTGATGTCAGTAGATCCATGATGTCAAAAAATCAGTGTGCTTGAAATGATGTTTTTAGCAAGATGAATAATTATTAAAATAATTATAGATTTAAAGTTGAAGTACTAGCAGGAACATCAGAAATTCAAAGCCATCATTATTTCCCTGTGATTATAAGAAAGAGCATATTAATCACTCTTGGTGTAGTGACTGCATGTATGGGACAAAAAGCTGAAGAATGCTCACAGTGGGAGTGAGATCGGCCGATCTACGCTCCTTAAAAACGGCTGCAGTGTTTGTAACCAATTTGAATCATCTTTAAGCATTACACTGGTATTGAAATAAAGAAATTTGAAGACTTGGATGTAACTTTCATATCTACAGTAGTTTCAAATAATCTCATTAATCAAAATTACAATGCATTGGCAATCTTTGAATTAACAAATGACAGTGTGTTCATGTAGTAAGTGTAACCAAAATCTTCACAAGGTTTGGTAGGATCAACAGTTGCTTTTAACTCCAAGTAATCTCCTTGTTGGAGGGGGTTGGTGACACAAGGGACTTCAACACAATCGGGTTCACAGTCAGTTTCCAATGACAGAGGTCCATCCAGGTCAACCCCAAAAGACTCAGCAGACTCCTATAATTATTATTTTATCATTAATCAATAATAATTATGTGATGATTTACCTGAAGACACGTTATTTCACCATGGAATTGGGCAGTGCCAGTGATCCACAATTGTTCTGGGGAGAGACTGTGTTCTGACTCCATTGGATGCTTATTCCAAGCATCACAAAACTGTGCCAGTGAGAGATTGATTCTGCAAAGAAACACAAAATGTAAACAGAAAAGTTGAATCGGATCCTCAGGATTTAAGTCACCATTGTCTTCCATCATGTAGAAAAGATTGTAGTACATCACTATACATCCTTG